TCCTATATAATAAAAGGGTAATATGCAAATTGACCCTAACAGCAGAACCACTGGGAATGACTGGTCACTATGACACACACTGACCACCAGGGGGCAGATGCTCAATGCAGTAGCTGCCCCCTGGTGGTTAGTGCGCTCCCACAGGGGGAGCTCTGCTCAGCCACAAGCCAGGCTGACGGCTGCCAGCACAGCGGTGGTGGCAGGAGCCTCTCCCACCTCCTCAGTAGCGCTAAGGATGTCCAACTGGAGCTTAGGCCTCTCCCCGCTGGCAAGTGAACATCCCCCGAGGGCTCCCGGGCTGCCAGAGGGATGTCTGACTGCCAGCTTAGGCCCGATCCCCCGGGGAGCGGGCCTTAGCCAGCAGGTGGACATCCCCCGAGGAGTCCCAGACTGTGAGAGGGCACAGGCCGGGCTGAGGGACCCCCCCAAGTGCACAAATTTTTGTGCACCGGGCCTCTAGTCTATAATATTTTTTAAGGAAAACAGCATTCTATAGTTTCTATGGATATATTTCTTGTGTTTACACCTACTTGCCTGTAAGGTATTTACATGGTATTGATTTAATATCTACAAGAATTTTGAGAAGCAAATATCTCTTGAAATTCCATAATAAAATTTTTATGCAACTTTTATTACCCGGAGATTAATCCCTCTTGTTTGGATATACATTGTCACTCTTAAAGAACATGCCAGGCATTTTTCATGTTTAGAGATTCTTATCTTTGTAAAATAGGGAAGATATGGGCATTCTTGATTCCTTTCTATTTTCTATGACAGATCCCCTAATTAGGGATTTGCAAAATATATCTAAAAAGTGTAAATTTTGTCATCTTTCATTATGTTCATCATAGGAAAAAATAGTTCCCAGCCTGAATAGCTAAACTGTGTAGGAATTATGTTCAGCTTTCTTAATTCTTAAGAAGCAGTCTCTAACTTGGTTATATGCAAGCTTTGTGACCTTAGACAAGTTATCCTTTCTGTAGTTTAAATATTTTCATCCATGTAAGAATATATTGTATTTGTAGGACCTCATAGTGTTTTGTGAGTATATATGAGTTAATACTGGTAATACACTTAGAGTGTTCCCAGCCCATACTAAGTGGTTAGTAAATGTCACTATTCTTTTATAGTGACTAAAAAAGAAATGATTTTATTTATAGTTAAATAGAAGTTTGAGTCCCTGTTATTAAATGAGACCTTGCTATACAAAGAGTTCAATTAATGAAGTAGTTCAGGGTATAGAATAAGTACTAAATAAATGTCAACTACTACTACTATTATTATTATTATTATTATTATTATTATTTAACATAAGTTGCCCATTGACTTTATTTCCTTGACAGCTGGTATGCCCCATCTGTCTGAAGGAAAATGTTTAGGATTGCTTTAGGGAATCATTGAAAATAGTATTTAGAATGAATAGGGAGAAATATCAGAAGCTCCAAATGCATATTGTTTTGAATGTCTGAAAATGTGCCTACAGAGATACCTAGGAGTTTCAGGGCATTGTGACTATCAATGCCTTTACAATGAAATCAGTTGTCAGGGACTGGAGGAATTTTTTGTTTTTCAATGTGTCATACCAGTATTATCAGCAAAAGTATTTAGGGAAATAAACTACTCTTAACCTAGTACTAGTCATTAGAAGAAGAATCTGTCAGCTCTCGGTTAACCAAGGTAACTGGTAAAGTAGGGCAGGTAGTTTCTGAGTGAGATTATAGATACAATCATAATTAAAAACAAAAATGCAGACACTCTTGACTATATGTAAGTAGGTTAGTTTTGATATGTATTTTATATTGACTCCTGTGGGTAACTACATTCGTTTTGAACTACAGCTAAAGAAGTCTGGAAACGTGGTTTCTCATATTCCCTAGGGTCAGGCAGTCAGAACTTTTTTGAAACTACCAGCTGGGGAAGGAAGATTGTCCTGTCACTTCACTATATCTTAACCAGACAAGCTTCAAGTCAGTTCCTAGATATTCAAAAGTTAATCATATTTGTAAGACAAACATTAATTTGGAGATCTATTCTTCTAGGTTGATGTTTTTTTTCTATTGCTTTATTTTAGCTGCCATTAAGGTTCAATGATGCCTTGGTACTTAGGCAGCTTCGGTATACTGGGATGCTGGAGACAGTTCGAATTCGCCAATCAGGATACAGCTGCAAATACTCTTTCCAGGTTATACTTTTACAGTGATCTTTAAGTATATATACATATCAAGTAAATTCTTCCTGTCTTGTTTATTTTTTATTTGGGGCTTATTTCTCTTAATTCTTCCTTCCCATTCCATCTTCTGTACACAGAATTAACCAGGTAGTGAATACTCACTTCCATTGAATGGCACCAGTCTTATTAAGCTTGTGTTTTAAGAGAATCCAGTACTTGGCTATTCTCATTTGATCTGAATGTTTCCTAATACTAAATTTACTCATAACATAACAGTTCTTCACACTGATTGCTTCACACTAAATGTACTCATAGCATAGCAGTTCTTCATACTCTTATGAGTAAATACTAAATTTACTCGCAGCATAGCAGTTCTTCACATGTATTACAAGTCTTCACACTAAAATAATTCAATCAGAACTGTCTAGTTCAAAAGAAAATATTCCATTTGATTTTTGCTAGAGTTTTCTCGGCAGGATTTTCTTTTATAGGAAGCTGCCATCAAGACTCATGCTTATTCTCATCAGTTGCTGCTCTGGGTAGAAAAAGTATATTGAAGCTTTCCAGCAGCTGAGCAAGTTTTATTGTTACTTGGAGGGAAAGCTTCATTCTCAGTTATATCCTATAATAACTGTACTTTGCTTATTTTTCTAAATTTTGCTAAAAGTTTCTGATTATTGTTATATAACTGTTTCTTTGTTTTTTAATACAGCTTTCTCAAAAGGGATGATTAGTTTCTGCTCTTGGTTTCTTTTCCAGCTTCCCTTTGATAACAAAATACTCTGTTGAACTCACTACACCTCCTTCCATTTTATAAGTTAACCTTTGGTAATACTTTGTTAACAAGTACTTCCTTGGTTTCACCATATTGGAAAGAATGAGAAATGGATCAATAAAAGGATAGTTAGCTAAAGTTTAGGATCTTGTAGCTTTATAACATTTTCATGTCATTCTTTTGTGGCCTTATAATATTTTCTTTTCATTTTTTCAGGATTTTGTGAGCCACTTCCATGTACTTCTTCCTCGAAATATTATTCCATCTAAATTTTACATTGAGGATTTCTTCAGGAAAATAAATATTAATCCAAATAATTATCAAGTTGGAAAATCCATGGTAAATATATATTGTCAAAATTGAGTGTATTTTTGTGTTTAAATAATAATGACAATCTTTGCCTATGATAATGTTTTGTAAAAAACATAATTTTCTAGCCCTAGCCAGTTTGGCTCAGTTGATAGAGCATCAGCCTGCAGATTGAAAGGTCCCGGGTTCAATTCCATTCAAGGGCACATACCCAGGTTGCAAACTTGATCCCCAGCCGTGGTGTGGTTGGCAGCCAATCGATGTGTCTCTCTCACATTGATGTTTCTCTCTGTGTGTCTCTCTCCCTCCCCTCCACTCTCTCTAAAAATATATAGAAAAATATCCCCAGGTGAGGAGTAACAAAAAAACAAGATAACAAAGAAAAACATAGTTTTCCAGATGTCATAAGGAAATTGAGTAGGCCACAATTTTTTTACTTAATAATATAGTCAATTTAAAGAGCTTCTGGCCAATTCTCTAGTTCTACCTATAATTGTAACTGCCTAAAAATCATCTCCCCTAGTGCTCTACTGTAATCTCCAACTCTACTTGCCCAAAGTCACCTCATCCTGATTTCCCTATTATCCTTAATTTGTCAACTACTCTTTTCTGTCATTCTTCTTCTAGTTTCTTAGGCTAGAAACCATAATCATATTTGGCTTACCCTTTACTTTAATCCTTTTACAAAATTGTTTTTTTTTAACAAATGATTCTCACATCTCTGCCTTTTTCTCTAATGCTACTGCATCCATAGTAGGTCTGTTTCTTTACCTTTCACATATATTTCTGTTACAGTAAACAGATCCCTCGTCTTGTTCCAGTCTGTTTGTTATTCTGTTGAAATCTACCCATTTTATCAAAATCATCTTAATATATTTCTTTCTTTAATTTGACTTCCTGCTCAGTAATAATCCCCTGATAACCTTCTCATTAGATTCAAACATCTTTCTCCTTTTCAAGAACCTTCATATTGTGATTTTACACTATTTAATTCCTTCATTATAAAGATTAGGTATTTCATTGTCCCTGTATGTGCCTTTATCGTTATTTCCAACTCCTTGTTTTGTTCAGGTGGGCTCCTCTGTCTCTTGCCCTCATTAGTTTACTCTTTTCCATTTTGTTATCTAATATCTATGTGCTCTTTTTATTTTTTTATTTATTTTTTTTAATGTAGCCCATTTATTTACTTAATAAACACTTGTCAGATGCTCACCACTTGTCATTTCATTCAACAAGTATTTATTTTTATTTATTTTTAGTAATGTATTTTATTTTATTTTTTTATATATTTTTTATTGATTAAGATAT